AAATACATTTACGTTGTGGAGAAGAACTCTGAAGCTAATAATTGCTTGAAAAGAAACTGGACCTTGCTCGGAGAGGCGTTATCTTGCTAGGGGTCGAATTTGAGCAAGGTAGAACTGAGCAAACTGTGCCTTTCTCAAATTCAATCTCGAGACTATAATGGACTGCTTGTTACGTCCCAGCAGCGTCCAGCTGGAATGCCTTTTTTCTTTAAAAGCTAGCGAAGAAAATTTAAATATAATCGGTATTTAATCGGTATCGATTTGTAAATCATAATTTCAAATAAGATCAAATACCTAAAAAAAAAAAAAAAAAAAAAAAAAAAAAAAAAAAGAAAGAAAAGAAAGAAAAGGGCTCAACTTGATTCATCAACGAGGGATTTAGTTTGTAAAAGATACGTTAATTCTATTCTATGCTCTAAATAGAAAGCACGTTTCGTTTAAATATTTGATGAAAATGAGGTACCTAAAAGCTACAATAAAATAAATAAATGAAATTAACTTTGGGGAAAGAAAAAGAACTTTAACGAACGTGAAAGTACTTTTATGCGTATCCAAAGAAAGTAGTAGCGTATTAACAATAGTTATATTTTTGGAAAATATTATGATATCCTAATGAAATGCTTAGAAGACCGCATTAATTTTCTGGGGCATATTATAATACTTCTGGTAATGAATTACTGTGACGTGCTACTGAGCAGTAAATAACATGTTTTGTGAAAAGAACACGTGAAACAGGCAAAAATCGAAACGCAGAAGGTTAAGTGCATTTATTCAGCAGTTGAAATTCAGCATTCCGATTTTTATTTCTCTGGCTTGCTTTTTCAGCCAGATACTAACGAGAAGTTAATGAGAATTACATTGCATGTGATAAAAATTAAGTAGATTTAATCGAAAATAGTGATTATTAAATTTTAATAAATTTACTATGCTTTTACTCATTAAATTGGTTACTAAATATAAAGGAAATGAAAGTTTAAATGAATGATTAATATTACTAATTAGAAATACATAATATGTTGTACAATTTCGTATATAGTCACTATCTTTATGTATAGTCATTTTGAATATGATTGAATTATATTATACTCTTGTTTTTTATATCCGCTAATTACTAATTAGTAAATTGTTATAAGCAGCTAAATAATTACGGCAAAACATGTTATAAATATGATTTGTGTCAGGAGGGTTCGTTTCAGGGAGAGTTTTACTAGATAATTAATAAGAAAAATTCAAATAGATTCTTTCCCCTTTAAAAAACGTTAAGGTATAGCAAAACTAAAAAAACAAAAAAAAAAAAAAAAAAAAAAAAAAAAAAAAAAAAAAAAAAAAAAAAAAAAAAAAAAAAATTAAAAAAAAAAAAAAAATTCATGCTTTATGTACTAAACTGCAAACTGTACGAATCGTTCGTATTTAAAATGCAAAGCAATTATGTATTTTAACATTTTTCTTTCCTTTAGCATTTAGCATTGCTTTCATTACTTCTAGCACTTCTAATGCATGGTTAATAGTTTCCTAAATAGCCCTAAATTTCTCCTTGATCATATTGCTAATTACCATAAATCGCACAGAGTTAATGAAATATTCATTTCAATGAGTTGTAAAATCCACACGTAAAATTGAGTCGCAGGCAAGACCCTATTTATTATTCATTAAACGTAAGCCAAATATGTATATAATGAATTTTTGTAACTGTTTTTTATGACAGCGCTTTTAATTTTGAAAAAGAAAATCCTTTTCATGATTGTTTCATAGAAAGAAAATATGCTATATGTTAAGTGTAACAAGCACGAATGTTTAGCTTTAAATATTTTAATTTTTGATTAAAATGGAATACAAAAAGAAAATACCCAATATATTTTACAGCATGGGAAACATAAACTACTTTATAAGAATTCAATGTTGTAGAAAAAATAAATTTTTTAGCTATTTAACGAGACTCGTTTTTAATCACGTCATACGAAAACGCGTTTATAGAGTGGATTAATTTGTTTTTATTACTACTAATCTAACTTGTCTGAATCAGAACAAGCCCACAAATTATCATTGTCTTGGTAAGGAGTATTAGATTGCGTGTGTCATCATGCAACCATGAAGTCTTGAGCACCATGCAGGTGACAGTGCGATTTTGCTCAGTTCTGCTCCAGTTTTAAAGAATGAGCAGGGGACAGCTCCGAGGGTTTTCAACCTCTCTTCTCCTAACACCAACCCCTCGAGAGGACTTTCGGCTCGCCACATATTCTGAGTGCCCCCCTTCCGCCCAGACACTATACATTTACAAACATCCATGCCTTCTTGGGATTCAAACAAGGGTCCTTCGGTATGGCAGTCAGCTTCGCTAACCACTTTCCCGTTTGTGAGGCATAGAGTGAATTTAATGTATTATTTGTTAAGAATTAAGCTTAGTGGTGACTGTTTAATGGAATAAAGAATGGTATGAAAAGGAATGTGAAACTAAGCAAAACTAGTTTTATTTCTTAATAAAAGCCTATGCATTTCATCTCTTTCGAAAAACCAATCTCATCTTACGTCTATATTTTCGAAGTACATAATGACCTTCCAGACTGTCGGATGCTTGAAGAATAGGTACTCGCTATGGCATAGCCACAACTGCCGATGACCGAGAGGACTGCCTATGATGCTCTATAAGGCTCCGTTCAGATGGTGGTATAAATGGCATAACTGGTTTAAGCCGAGCTTCATTGCTAGGTAACCAGACCTTGATAAGTCACAAAAATTGGTTTAAGGAGTTTTGGCATAAAGGTCGAAGCTTTCAACTGTATGCCGATTTGGTATAAGAGTCGACCAATCAGAGTGAACGCGCGAAACCTATTGAGAGGGAAAGCTGTAGACACATCCACGCATGCGCAAATTTAGCTTCTCTAATTGGCTAAGGCTTAGACCCTGTGTCGCAGGTGTGAACGTCTTTTATGCCTCTATGACATTTATACCACCGGTCTGAATGGAGTCTAACGGGCAGACAGCTAGTGCACCTGCAAATGGGAGAGGGATGTCACAAACACTCACGCCTTATCAAAGACCGGAACTCGAGGCAAATGACAGTTACTACCATATGACAGTGGTTACTACCATATTCAACCAGAGGAGCACGAAATCTATATGCGTGTAATTGGGACTTATTATGACCCAAATTTAGGACACACATGCATATAGTTATTCTTGGGAGAGGATGAAGAAGAGAGAAAAATGGAGATTTCCTGAAGGGGAAAGAAATGCAGTAAAGAAGCGAGACAAATGATAAATAAACATTAATAAATGCTAAGAATTAATTTATAATTTTAAATTGTTTCACAATTACATGGAAAAGTATATAATTATAAAATGAGAAAAACGGTACTTCAAAGTGATCCATCAAAAGAAAATTATCTCGCAACGCATTGGGCGTGGGTCACTTGCCTACATTTCGGGAATCAGGGCACTTCATTTCCGCAAAAACTGTTTTGAATTTGCAAACTGATGATCAAGCTGTTGAAAAAATGAAACAAATAAATAGAGTTAACAACAAGAGATATACGTATGATACGCTTTTTCTATACTTGTGTATGCCTTAAACGTAAAACACGGCTAATTTTTATTTTTTATTATTATTATTTTTTTAAATTAAGGTAAGAATTTGCGTCAATTTGTATAACTTAAATGCTAAAGTTAAAAGATTTCGAATCATTTAAAACATTCGGTACATTTTTCGAAAGGAAAAACGATAAGATTCTAAGAAAAATTTAGTTACTTTGATGAAACTGTAAAAGAAAACGAACATTTTGGTATTTAAATAGAACAGAATAATTTTTTGATTATATATAGTTTTTTATGTAATAGTAAATCGTGGGCATGGTATAGTGAGAAAATATCTTAATTGCCTGTCTTACTGCATAACACATGAAGTTATAAGTACAGAATTCAGAACATGCAATAATAGTCCTTCTCTCGAAATGTTTTTGACACGTTACACATGGCGAAAATGCCCATGCAGCCAGCCCGTTTGGCTAGAATTGATCCCATGTTGGAAGCACCAGTGTTCAGCGACTTACCGCTCGTTCGCTGGTTGACCCGCATAACTATGGAGCAGAGGCCCACCACAGTCTGTGTGAATAAGACTGCTGAACACTGGTATTTCGTCCCAAGTTCTCATTATCTTACATAAAGGGCTGCATGTGAAAGCAACAACAAAAAATATCGTTGTTTCCCCATGCATATAATGAATAGGAGGCTTATATTTTTCATTTGAAATCCTCCACGAAATTTTCCCTCCTTCGGCAGATAACCTTCGCTTGCTTTGCCATAATTATTTGACCCCAAAATCATTTTACGGAGAAGACAAGTTTTAAATGATCTACTGATTTTATTAAGCAATTGAGCCATTGCCATTATTTTCATTAATGCTTGGGAATTAATTGTTTTATTTTCTTTCTTCCAGTCTAGGAAGAAAGATAATTAACGAAGTTGAAAACGCGAGCTTTCTTTTCCCTTTATGTTTCTTTCTCACTAAAATTTAGATAAACTTCGTTTAATTTCTATACCATCATCAGTCGTTGCTTTGAAATATGAATATCGTGCTGCTCGTGCGATGGATCTAAACTCGGAAATAAACAGTAGAAGTGTCAGAGTAAACGTTTGTTAGAGTAGGGCATTTAGATAAGGTATTCCGGCAGTAGCTTCGTTTCATGACCCCTAGAATGAGAGTGACGTGAACTCAAAGACAATTAACTAATAGCTCTCCCGGTGTGTATTAATATTCGCGATTAGCCCACCGGCCATATGTTTAGTATCTGCCGGGCTGAAATTACTGCTACGCACGATCTTGCCATCTGTCGCTTATAGCGAATTCACGTCGCGTACCTCCTTAAGGAGTCCTCCTCGAGACAGTGTGAGAATTAATTTGCCCTCCCTGTTGGGGTTAGAAATAAATGCCGGCCTATGAATACATCGCTATTTTTTCTGGAGCATTTATACATTCACTGCACGTGCACTTTGATCGGCGCCGCGGGCGAAATGCACGCGGCGCACTTCGCGAGAGACCGCGGCGCCTTTTTAGAGGAGAAGTGCGATGCCGACAGCACGGGCTTTCTTCACCTCCAAGGTGCATGTGAGTTATTTTCAGTTTTATAAACTATATATCCCTTTAAATCGATCTATAAACCTGCAAAATCGTTCTTAAAATCAAGCAGCGATTTACACGTGCGACCCAAAAACTTGATACGTTTTATTTATTTATTTATTTTCTACGATTTTAGATTATAGATTCCGAGATTATGCAGATACTTGTTATTATTATGAATGTAGTTTCGGAAAAAGGCAAAATATTATATTTAAAAAATGGTATGTTGTCGTAAATAAATTTTATTCTGTAAAACAAACGGAATATTAACTTTATATTGCAAAACAAATATAAAATACTTTTTATTTTAGAAATCAAACAAATAAAAAAAACTTCTTTAGAGAACAAATTAAAAATTAACTTTATTCGAGATTTTATCATATTTATTCACCTTCTTTTGACGCTGATACCTTCTTCTGACGTCTCTTTCTCACTATTTGCGATTAAGTCATACGAATGTTGTCAATGATTCAATTTATGGTCATGCCCTTCTCGCCGTCATCGCCCATAACACGTCATCTTCTGGGCCGTCCAGTGCATGAGAAGTTCTACACTTTTTAAGCAACTTTATTATAACTTCAATTCTGTTTTTTGTCCACGCATTTAAAATTGCTTGACGCAAGGTATCATTTCCAGATGCAAGTTTTTCGCATACAACTCGTATATTCGACATTTAAAAATGTCCATAAATTGTAAATCAAACCTTGGCTTAATACAGAGGGGAGCACTTAATTACTTTAAATAAAGGCTCTTTATCCTAGGCTAAATCATCCTAGCCTCTACATTAAGGAAAAGCTGACAATAATTAATAAGACATTTTTTCAGTTGAGCAAAAGGTAATGATAAACTGTTACTCAGTAATTTTAAGCAAATATTTTACCCCTTTATTGTACTCTTGGTATTATTAGTAGCCCACAAGCTAGCGGGTGTAACTACATGAAACCAGAAAAATTACAGGTACTATAAAAAAAAGTTCTTGTAAACGTTCTCAAAATTATAGTGAATGTATAAAAACATGCTTCTGTGCAAATTTATTTCAATTGTGCTAGTTAAATTTTCTTCTTGTGTCCTTCATTCATCACTTTCAGCTATTTTATTCTACGCCATTAATTTTATGTGTGAATTTTTTTTATTTCTCGTCTCTGCTTACAGATAAAAATAAACAAAGGAAAAAATAAGAAAAATTAAGTAAAGTTTTAAGAATAAGTTTCAGTAAGAGAAATTTTCGTAAATACTAAATTCCAATTTTGAAAAAGAATTGTATGCTTCGTGCGTATTTGAACTATGTTATAGTTTATTACGACTATTTTGTGTGCATATTTTCAGTTTCTATGTATGAGTAATTGTTTAGCAATTATTTTTTGGGGGGGGGAAAGAGTTAAAGGTCTTCCCAGAATATTTTTTCTAATGATTTAGAATAGTTGTTGAAATTTCATTGAATGTGACCTGTGAGAAGCACGAGATTTGCGAAATAAAATAGTCAGTTTCCGAAGCCATTTCGTAAGTTCTGTATTTAATGATTTTCTCTTCCGAAAATTTTGATTCTCAAAGCTTTAATAGTCTATTGAAGCATTTAATTGTACGTTTTGTAAATCGTTTTTGCTTGTTAGCAGTTATATGAATTTCTATGAGGTAATTAAATTATTAACTTGAGAAACATCACGAAAAATTCACGGTTTCAGCAATAAGAACAGATTTTTTTCGCCCACCAGGTACGGGAAAATATTATATTTTGTTATTTGCAAAAGTAAGGCCGATAGACAGGGAAGTCATGAGCTAGGGGCTTAGCCCCCCTGCCCCCCCCCCTGTGGTCTTGTTTTCTCATTCCACTTTAACAACATCCCAAACCATGGCTGCATATTATATTCACTTGCTAATCAATAAGTGCTGAAAACAGCGTTAAAAATTATAAATCTAAATAACAGCTCTTTTTTATTGATGTTTTCCAGTATTTGGTTCGTTGGTTTATTTGATTAAGCCTCAAGGGCTATGTGCCTAAGGGAAAGGATGCCTCCGTGGAAGACTTTCTAAGGGAAACTGGCTCGTATACACGTTACACATGAGCAAAACCACGAAAACGCCTATGCAGCCAGCTCCGTTTGCGGGTTTCTAACCTTGAACCTAACTACAGTGTTCAGCGACTTTACCGCTCGACTGCTGTTGAGAGCTGTTTCCCAGTAAGTGTGCCGCCTGAAAGCGAAATATGGATATTAATTCTGATTTTAGAAAAACAGCAGCATTTACTCACGCCTGGTGCTACCACATAATAACTGAGATTATCTGGATCAGCAATTATTTCAAATATCTTTGCAAATGAAATGCGGAAGTTATTTTATTCTTTCCTTCCATTAACGGTAAAGAAATTTTCATTCTAAATTTTGCTAATGTAACAGTATTTTAACGGCAAAAATATCACATCTTTCTATACAAATGATAGTAAAAATGGGTACTTACGTATTAACGCAACCAGGCCAAAATTCGCATAAATCGCCAAATTTGGCGACCCTACTTACGGCAACCCTACGTGTTATACGTAATTTTTCGTAAAGAAATTATTTTTCTTACTGGTTAGATTGAATGCCCTGAAATACTTTAACTATGTGTATTTGGGATCTGCCTGCGAGTGAAAAAGATGCTGTTGAATTGTTGCAGGGATATGGCATTATACCGAACGAACGTACCTGTAAAAATTCTCATAAAATGAAACTGTATTTTGGAAAGCAAATCTTCTGGAAATGTAACGTCGAAGAGTGCAATCAACATTTGGGCGTGAGAACCGGAAATTGGTTTGAAGGTAGCCGAATTTCATTTGTGACAGCGGTGCGCTTCATTTATTGTTGGTGTAAAGAGTTAACCTCAATTAAATTTTGTGCAAAAGAGATGGGAATTGCTGACAAAACTGTTGACTCATACCTTATCGAATTTATATGGCGCCAAGCTCAAGCTGTTAATGGCGAAGACGGTTTTCAATCAGTGCTAAAAGCAATAGCCAAAAGATTTCCGCCGAAAAAATAATTCTGCAACTTATTCAAATTCGAAACCGGAAGGGTTTAATTGCTATTTTATATTTTAAAACAAAATAATATAAAAAACTGTATTAAAATTATCTGTAATTAATAAATGTACATTTTCTTTCTATTCATACTTTTTTACTCAAACTTACAAATCGCGCCAACCTGGTTGCGATAATACGTAAGTACCTAAAAATGTTTCCTTCGTAAAAATCCGTAAAAAATCTTTTAACTGTACTTATAGGGGTAAAACAACTTTCACTGTAGCGCAGAAAGTAAGAAAAAATGTCTGTCAGTAGCTTACATATTTTTGTAAATTATTGTAACTATTCCATTGATCCATGAAATATTCAAGAAAAGGTAGTAATTTGTTTTTGCAATACAGTATTCAAATCTAGGTCTAAAAATCTCTTGATAACAAAAAGGTTTAACTTAGCGCATATTTAGAATAGTTAATGTAGGAAATGAAAAAAAAGTTAAATTTTGTAATTTTTTACCGCTCATTGTTATTTTAAAAACAAGAATAATTTGTTTTCCGTTTAAGCTAGCAATACAAAACAAATGGAGGAAAACAAGTCCCGGAGAAGTGTTTATGATCAATAACTTTTGCTATAACATATAATGAAAGGAAGTTATTAAAAGTGATGCAAGGTATTTAACAGTCTTTTATTGTTGCTGTTTATTAAGAATGTTTCAACTCGTGTCCTTGTGCGTAAGGTTTCATGTTAGTTAAGTGTTTACCTTTTGAAGAAGAATCCTGAATTCATTAAGTTGAAGGTCAAAGAAGCCTAATTTACTTAGCTAATAATGCTTATCAAACGCAGTTTAGATAATTATTTTAGAGATGAAGTGATACTGTGCATACCAGTACTACCTAAATGAAATCTGCAGTTTTTTTAATCCAAACGTAACTGTGGGTACTAGTTGAAAACTGAAATAACCCATAACTTGGAATTTAAGTCTGATTTCAGACAGTGATCGAATGCCACCCACTCTTGGCACATAGTAAGCATTCAGTGCTCTACTGTTTTTACCAGACGTGGACAATTTCTTAGTAAAAAATCGCCCATTTAAAATGCGAGGTCTTGGACACAACCCCTTTTTAGGGCTTCTGTTTCTCACTTTGTCTTTCTGGGGGAAAGGGGTTAAAAAAGGAAGCTTATTAGAATTGTAAAAGTATTTCGTGCCCCCTAGAAATCTTTTGCCGTGTGGGTGATGATGAGGGACTGCTTATAAGTAAACAACTGAAGAAGACTGTAATTTTCTTGAACTAAATTCAACATTAGATAGATGGTTTGGCAAAATATGCTTTGAAACGTCTTCATGGTAGACAAGATCAAGGGGGCAAGATTTGCATTTAAATTACATTAAAAGACCCCTGTAACAAACCCTGTACAACCTAGCAATTTTGTTGAGAACTGAAATCAAGAAGGGAACTACAGTATTCAGCTGCAACAACAGTACCCTCGCTACGTCTGCTTTAGGAGAGATGCTTACGTTTAGAGCTGAGAGAAACTGGTATGTGTCAGCAGTAGACATAGAGACAACGTCTTATAAAGCAACCTGCAAGAGCCTATTCGATCTTCAGTATCAGACTCTGACACGAATTAGTTTTGTTACACGCTCGGCTATTTGCATCACTGGAATTGGTACGTCAAAGATATTCTATCTTACCTTTTAGCTCAAAACTTCTAACGACAAATGCTTGCATAAAAAAAAAGGTGTCTATTCCGTCCCCCCCCTTTTGGATGAAATTTTCTTCATCTAGCCTAAGTTGCATTTGTTAACTTTACTAAAAATTAAAAGAATTGTCAGTTGCAGATACATTCGAATTTTTTATTTAGTAGGCCTAGAGATGAAGATTCGATGTTTAGTACTAGGCCTGATATTCTGCAATGCGTTGCGCACTATTCTTGTATATATATTTAGCCTTAATCAACTGTCTTAGTTATACTAAGTTCCTTACAGAAGGTAATC